AAAAAAAAAACAACTAAAAAGAAAAATGAGTCTTCTGATGATCATGCAAATGATCCTTGCATTTTAGGAAAAATCAGTGTTTATTAAAACTGTACAAAAGTACTTTGTGGAAAAAAAACCTTTGTGATTATATGCAGAATGGGATTAGAACAAGTAGTTATGACCAGATTGCCCAGCTATGTGAATACCAGGTGACATATTCAGATTTTCTTAGGCTGTGGGACAGCTTTCAATTGTACAGGACTGTCCTCACCTGGTACCTGCGTCCTGATTAGCGTTAAGATATGTAGCCGCGGCCTCCTCCTTTTTCTTTTTTTTTTTTTTGGCGGTGGGGATGGAGCCCAGGCCTCGGGTGTGCCTGGCAAGCGCTCTCCCACTGAATTCTGTCCCTGGGGCCCGATGCACCTCCCCAGATCAGGACGGTCATGGCTGAGGCTCAGTTCCCGGGTTCGCAGCTGAGACCGCTCCTGCTTGCTGCCTGCTTGCTGTGTGTCTGGGTTACGTGCTCCCTGGTCTCATCCTTACCCTCCACACCATAAGTGGGTGCTGCTGTTACGTAGCTGAGTAGGGTGAGGCTTGGAGAAGGACAGTGGAGGCTATTGTCCTGCCAAGAATGTTGTCAGGGCTGGGGCGGGGATTCAGGCTGTCGGTCCACACCCCTGCTCTTGGCCATTGGGGTGCACCTGTCCCTGGGGCCCTGAGAGAAGTGGCTGACGCCCCCTGCAGAGAGCTCGGGGATCACGAGTGGTGGTGGGCAGAGCTGTCGTCAACAGGAAGCAGTGGGAGACCTGCTGCGTTTCCTGTTTAGCTGCTTTGAATGCCAGTGGCCACCAGTAACAGTGTGAGCGGTCCGGGACCCTCTTGTTGCGCCTGCACTTCAGGAAGGCAGCCTTGCCCGGGTGCCAGCAACGCAGCAAGCAGCTCCCGGCGGGCTCACCGGCCGTCTCCACAGCCTCTTGGGGCCGCCACTAAGGGCAGCCGAGGGTCCTGCGCCCCTCACCCCCGCGCCCTCGCTCTTTCAGGGGTGCTGCTCCTTGGCGAGCCAGTGCGATGGGAGACCAGCCTGCAGCTGATCGTGGACGTGCTCCTCAGCAACGGGAACCCTGGCACCGGCCTGGCGACCGCGCCCTATCCCCACCTCCCGGTCCTGGCCAGCAACATGGATCTTCTTTGGATGGCTGAGGCCAAGATGCCCAGGTGGGGACACGGGGCCCTCAGCCCTGGCCACGGCGGTCCACTGCAGGCTGCTGCACGACCAGTCCTGTGGGCAGTTTGTCCCTGTCATTCTGATGCTCGGGGGCTGGCACCCACCTAGCCAGGCTCCGTAGTTGCCCCAGTAACCGGGCCTCTGGGAAGGCTTTCGAGCATCACTTTACCCGGTAATTCTTACACTGAGTGTGAGGGCGCACAGAGATGATTCTTCACGCACGCCGTCTGCTCTGCATAATCTCACAGCGCGCTCGTCAGGGCCAGCGCCGAGGTGTCCGTGCCTCATCTTACCTCCCGCAGCGCTGCTTCGCTCGCTGCTTGTGTCTCCTGTGGGATGGAGGGCACGGCAGCCAGGGTTGGTCAGTGGTGGGGAGACCGGGGTCCGAGCCTCGGGCAGGGCTCCCATGCCCGCTCCCTCCAAAGACATCATCTCTCCTGCCCTTCCTGGGCGGGTGGGCAGCCCCTGGCTGGTGTCTGTGATGCCTCACTGTGAGGCCGGCGGTGGCGCTCTGTCCTGTGGGCTGCTCTCCCCGCAGGGCTAGAGCCCGCTCCCGTCACCTGCGGCTGATGGCGAGTGAGCTCTGTGGTCAGTGAGCGCTGGTGCTGGGGCCAGGCCCGCTGCCAGGCCCCGCGCTCGGGGGCTCCCAGACTGCTGCGTGGGCTGCTTTCCCTTGTGGCTTCTGACGTGTGTTTCTGCGGCTCGGGCTTCCCGTATTTTCTCTGAAGTACTGCTCTTCAGCACTCGGAGACTGGGGATCGGTTGGGAACGGAATAGCAGCCGGCAAATTTCACTTTTTAAGCCACACAAGATTAAAGTTTAGTTCAGTAATTGAAAACAAGCTGTGGTGGCGCACGCCTGTAATTTCAGCCCTTTGGGAGGCCAAGGCAGAGGGATCTCAGTTGGAGCCCGGCCTGGGCAACTTGGTGAGATGCTTTCTCAAAAAAAAAAAAAAAAAAACAAACCACAAGAGGCAGCGTTGTACTTCAGGGCAAAGGTTCTGGGTTCAATCCCTACTACGGGAAAAGCAAGCAAGCAAGCAAAATTCTTTATGTAAGTGAGTCTGAAAAGTAACCAGTGTATAGCATGGGATCAATTAGGATTCAATTTAGCAGCCAGGGATGAAAACCCAAAAGAAAAATTATTTATTTAAATAAAAATTATTTATTTAAATTGTCTGTCTTTTTGATACAGGGTTTTACTATGGAGGTCAGGCTGGTCTTGAACTCACTTTGTAGCCCAGGCTGGCCTCAAATTCACAGTGATTCTCCTGCCTCAGCCTCCTGAGGATGGGATTACAGGTGTGCGACTAGCAACAAAAGTGTTTTACACAAGGTAGAATTTTTTTTAATCATGTGACCGAAGTCCGAGGTAGGCAATACTGAGACAATGGCTTCTGTCTTTCCTCTGTGCAGTCTATACTCTTCACTACATAATCCAAAGTGGCTGCCTGGATGCCAGTCATCATATTAGCATTCCAGGTAGCAGGAAAGGGTAGAGGACAGAGAAGAGCACCCCACCCGATTTGAAGATACTTAGTAAAAGTTTATCCCAGCCCTTTTGCTTTCATTGAGTGATGCTAGTTCAGTCACGTGGCCACAACTAGCTTTAGGAAGGTGGGGAATGTACTTTATGCAACGTGCTGGCAGTAACAAAGAAGGGGAACATGGCAGCCAGTAGTTTGGCACGAATTTAAGTAGCGCTGAAGCCGCCTGGACCGTGAGCCAGCCCTGCCAGTGTGGGCACGTTGCTGTCTTGCCGTGCCTCAGTTTCTGGGTGTGTGAAGTGAGGTGTCAGCGGCGGACCCCGCGTGCGGCACCATCTGCTGTGCTGTCATGGCGCTCGGCCCTGGCGGGGGTGGCCCGAACTCGCGCTGTGGCCCCGCAGCCTGTAGGGAGAGGCGGGTGTCGGGGCTGGGGCCGGGGCTGAGCTGCGGGGTGCTCTCCCTGGCAGGTTTGGCCACGGCACCTTTCTGCTGTGCCTGGAAGCCATCTACCAGAAGCTGACGGGGAAGGAGCTGCACTACGAGGCCCTGATGGGAAAGCCCAGCCTGCTCACCTACCGGTACGCGGAGCAGCTGATCCGGCAGCAGGCGGAGAGGCGAGGCTGGACCGCCCCCATCCGGAGGCTGTACGCGGTGGGGTGAGCGTCCTCTCCGCGCCCTGTCCCCCTGCCGCCCTCCCCTCCGCCGCCGCCGCCGCCTCCGCCCTCTTGTTTCGCTATATCTCAGCCGCACTCTGCCCGCCCCCCTTGTTATTTTTCTCCCTCTGCCTCGGGACACTGAATTTGGGTCTCTTTCCGTTTCCCCTGCCAGTGATAATCCCATGTCGGATGTCTATGGAGCCAACCTGTTCCACCAGTACCTGCAGATGGCGGAGCGCGGCGTGCAGGCCGAGCGGCAAGGGGCTGGCGGCCCGCAGAAGCAGTGGCCCTCCGCCACCCGGAGCTGCGTCTCCATCCTGGTGTGCACCGGCGTGCACCGTCCCGGGGAGCCCGGCTCTAGGGAGCAGCCGTTCCATGGGCACCGGGATTTCGGCTTCAGCCCTGCGCTCCTGCAGGCATCCCACGTGGTGAGCGACGTGCACGCGGCCGTGCGGCTGGCGTTCCGCGAGGAGGGCTGGCCGTGGTAGTGCCGGCGCGGGGACCTGTGTGCTGGCACCTGGCCCAGGCCGATCCCCGTGCCCCAGGCTGGGGTGTCATGGGCCAAGAAGATGTCTTTATTCTTCTGATGAGCGCTGGCCACGGAAATGTCCCCGGGGCCGCATTTCCTGTGGAGCCCTTGTGATTTCCAGCCCGATTCCTGAGCGCCTCTCCTGGCAGGCTGACCACAGGCTGGCCCCTTTACCTCTGTGCCTCAGTTTCCCCCTCAGCAGGGCCTCCTGCAGAACGGGGAGGCCTGCGGGGTGGTGTGGAGCCACCGCCTGGCAGCAGGTGTGTAGCCAAGTCTCATGTGCTGGTTTTCACTGTATTTTAGGTTATTGCCCAGAAATTTGGGGCTTATTTTTTTAAATTAAAATCATCCTAATAAATACTCATTGTGCTGCTCTTGTGAAGCGCTGTCTGGAATGTACTAAAGTCCTGGGAGGAGCAGAGTGGGTGATGGTGCACATAGGCCAGCTCGGGAGCAGGGAGAGGTGTAGCGTTTCAGTCTGTAAGGCTGTCCAAGATGGGTGTGAACTCATTACCCTACTGCCTCAGCCTCCCAGGTGCTGGGATTGCAGCTGTGCAGAGCCTTGCTCAGTTTAGGTTTGTGTCTTTTTTTTTTTTTTTTTTTTGTCTTTTTGAGACAGGGTCTCACTGTTTAGTTCAAGCAGGCCTTGAGCTCACTTTGTAGCCCAGGCTGGTCTCGAACTCACAAAGATCCTCCTGCCTCAGCCTTCCGAGTGCTGGGATTACAGGTGTGTGCCACACACCTGGCCCTTTTCTCTTTCTAAATTGACGTATCTCAGGTATTTGTTGTAGTGACAGAAAACTAACATACCAGGTTAGTCCTTGTCCTCAGCTTACTCTATCAGTCATTTGCTTGTGACAGTGATTTCTCCTCCCCTCTTGCTTGAAACCTTCCTGGGCTAGATGTGGAGGTACACTATAATCCCAGCTGAGGCCGGGGGGCCGAGAGTAAGGCCAGTGTGGGTGGCGCATACCTATAATCCCAGCACTCTGGGAGGCTGAGGCAGGAGAACTGCAAGTTCCAGCGAAGCCTGAGGGACATAGTGAATCAGTGAGGCCCTGTCTCTGTCCAGGCCTGAGGCTTGGAGCCCTGCTTGTCCGTCATCCCAGCATCAGCTGCGCCTTCTGTAAGGTTGACGGAGGGAATAGGTAGGAGACATAGGGACAGAAGGAAGTTTTACTGTGGCAGAGGTGGTGGCAGGCAAGTCACTAAGAATAGAGACCGTGCAAGGGGGCGGGGGGCTGAGCTTAAGTAGAGGTAGAGCGGCAGGACCGTTAGGAGTGGCGTGAAAATTTTGGCTGAGTGGATTTGACTTCTGCGCATTGGAGGATTTGCCTTTGGTGTGTGGGAGGCTTTGGGTGGGCAGGGCATTTTCGGGAAGAGTTGACATTTGTGGATTAGATTAGAGCAGGATGTCTGTCGGGGGCGGGGTTGGCTTTTGTAGCTTTGCCGTGGGGGTTGGCACTGAAATGGACACTAACACCTTCATGCATCCGGCATCCCATGTGGGACCAGCCTCACCACCCAGTCTAGGCCTCTGGCCTTTTGCACCCCATTGTCACAGCTTCCTCTCGCCCTGCTTTGTCTCCTCTTTCCCCCATCCTTACTGTTCTCCACGTTTTGGCCCGTAATTGGTCAGACTATGTTTTGTTATTTTATTTATTTAATTTTGTTTTTATCTTGAGACAGGCTCTCACTATGTAGCCCAGGCTGACCTTGAATTCATTGTGGTCCTCCTGCCTCAGCCTCCAGAGTGCTGGGATTACAGGCGTGCGTCACCATGGCTGGCTGCTCAGTCCATGATTCGGATCTGCGCAGCCTCCTGCCCCCAGGCCTTGTCCCTGCAGTAACATCTGCACCAGATGCGCTCTCTCCCCTTTCCCCATCATTTCTTGATTGGATGTGAAAACAAACAAACAAAAACAAAACAAACAGAAGATCGGATGTGAGGTCACCCATAAACCTGTGTGGCTTCCTCTGGAGAACCGTACCTCCCCCTCCCCCAGCTTATGTTTCTCATAGCACTTGGCCCTGCGAGGCCCTTGGGTCCTGCTGTCCTACGTCCTCCCGCACACTGTGCGTCCTACGTCCTACCGGGCACACTGTGCGCGTGCAGGATGCCGTGGGCACCTGCTCCATCGAAGGTCCCTGCAGGCCCGTGCATCCTGTGGAGTCCTGCAGGACAAAGCGCCTTCCTTTCCCTTCTCTCTTGGAGCCTTCGGCAGAAGTTAAAAGCTTGCCCCGCCGCTCAGCAGCTGTGTGCCGGGGCCGCTCCCTCCACTCCTCCGAGCTTGCTCTCTTGGCTGTAGAACTGGCGCTGGCAGTGCTGTAGCCAGAGGGCTGTCTGAAGGAAATGGCCTCTTTGGAGCACCGGATGCATCCGTGAGGGAAACGGGGTCAAGGAGAGGCAGTTCAGGGAAAGGAGAGTGGCCCCGGGGCAGCCTGGAGGACCTCGGGCCCCTCCGGTGTGGGTGTGCGCGCTGCAAGCGGCACAGTTCCACTTGGCAGCCTTGTCCCAGTTACAAGCAGGCGGGAAAGGGGGAGGGAGCGCAGCCCCCAAACTTGATTACCTTTCACCAGCTCTTCGAGGACCCCTTTCTGGGACTTCCAGTCCTGTCTGGCTGACCGCAGTCGGGTCACACAGCCACCACTGGCTGCAAGGACAGTGCTGCCCAAACGAAGGCAGGGTTCCGGCTTTTGGTGTGTGCGTGCGTGTGAATGTTCGATGTCACCCTCCTCGCTTTCGTCTTGATTATTTTTGTGGTGCCAGGGGCAGATCGCAGGGCTCCTGGGCGAGTGCTGTGGCGCTGAGCTGCAGCCCGGCCGTGGGTTGCTGTGCAGCCGAAGGACAGTGGGATGGGTGTCTCCTGGCGCCTGGCAGTGCTGGCTGCAGTGCTGGGACTCCGGATGGCACTCAGCTGGTACTGTGTCCTGGGCACTCCGAGGACACGGTTCAGTCCCGGCCTTCAGAAGTGCCTTATCTAATATGAGACGGTGCTGTTGGCTTGCGTCACAGTCTTGCGCAGCAGGTAACATTTTCCAGAGTTTGTTGGGGTTTTTTGTTTTTGTTGTTTTTGGGTTTTTTCCGGTACCAGGAATTGAACTCATGACGTTGCGCTTGCCAGGCGGCGGTGTGCTGCTGAGCTAAATCCCCAGCCCCCTTTCCAGAGTTTAAAAACAGGCACCACTCACACTTTGTTGGAGCCTCAAAAACCCATAAAGGAGGGAGACAGTTCCTTTTTTTATACTGGGGGTTGAAGCCAAGGCCTTCACACTGAACTATGTCCCTGTCTTTTTTTTTAAGACAAGATCTCACTAAGTTGCCCAGGCTGAGCTTGAGCTTGCAATCCTCCCCGCTCAGGCTCCCGGAATGCTGAGATTGCAGGCATGTGCCACCACACCTAGCCGAGAAAGAGACAATTCCTAGGTATTCCATTGTAATAAATGAGCTCAAAGGCAAGGGGCTTTCAGTCTTTCATTGAAAAACCACTGCAGGTCTGCCCGGTGCAGGGGGCACTCCGTCACTGGCAACAACCCCTGCCCTGTGAGGGCTCCCGTGAGTGGTGAGATGTCCAAAGTCAGAGCCAGTGGGAGGGCTAGGCCTGCGGGTCTGTCTCCCTGTCTGAGTCACTGTTCTCCCCAAGACATGGCACTGCCCACTGGCCGCCTCTGACCCTGTCCGAGCGTTGCTTTGGGTCCTGCTCCCTGTGCAGCCCCCTGAGGTTTCTTGGGCCGCCCAGGGCAAGCTGAGCAAATGGGGCAGCAGCTGAGCTGGGAAGGGAGCTGATAGCAAAGCTCGGCGAAGCACGGAGAGTCAAGGAACCTGACCTCAGATCCAGGGGACAGAGCGGCAGCGCCTCTGCCCTGGCTCTGTCCCTCTGGCTCCTGTCCTTTTAGTTCGGTGGTTGTTTCTCTCCCTTGCTTACTTGTTTGGGTTTCCTAAAGATACCACAAGCTATTCCGGGCTGGGTGCAGAACAGCGTGTGCGCTGCCTGCCGTCACTTATGCAAATCTGCAGAAGAGGGCGGGGCCCCCATTCAGCTCCAGTTCCGGTCCTGTCGCTTAGGGCCTTTGTCTAAACCAGGGAACCTAAACAGGACCACATGCCTCCATCTGCTCACTTTCAGACTGAGTGGAAATGTTGACCTTTTGTTTTGTGATGGAATCAGGTGAATAAAAACCATAAAGACTATGTTCATTTGAATGGGATGTGCGGTCCCCTGACCTTTTGCAACGCTGGGGATTAAACCCAGAGCATGGTGCATGCCGGTCCAGGCAAGTGCTCTACAGCTGAGCTACATCCCCAGCCCTGAGCTTCCCTTTTTTTCTTTTTGTGGTACCGGGGATTGAATCCAGGGCCTCCTTTATGCTAGGCAAGCGCTCCACCACCTGCATCCCCACACATTTTTAATTTTACTTTTGAGACAGGGTCTCAAGAAGGTGCCCAACTTGGGCTCAGTTTCCTCAGTAGCTGGGGTTACAGGCCGGCGCTACAGTACCTGGTAGAGTCTGTTTTTAATCCTGCCGCAAGGGCTCACCGTGAACAGGCTTTGGAATCACCTTGCGTCTCTTCAGGTCAGCTCGGGGTCTGAACTCTGGCCGGCCTCGGATGACGCTGCCTCTGACCAGCCTCTGGCTGTGTGGTGAGCCGGATGGTAATCAGGACACCCTGCCGAGCTAGCGTTGCTATAGCAACCGGATGCTGCCTCGAGGGTGGAATTTTAAAATATCTCAGCTAGAATAGTTGTCTTTTTAAAAACATCGTTCTGTCACCTCCCCAGTGCTTGGAGGTGCTGCTGAGGAGGGCAGTGCCGGGGCGCCTGTGCCTCTGCCTGGGGCTCTTCGCAGCTCCTGGGGCTTGGGGGTGGGAAGATGTCTGAGGGTGTGAACGGCTGCGAAGCTGCAGAGCCTCAGCTTTGGCTTGCAGTTTCCTGCAGTTCTTGGTTCCAAGTCTTACATGACTTTTCCTTTATGGGACGGAGAGATCGGGGGTCTAGCTTTGAGACTCTTGCTTCTTCCCATGCTGACAGAGCTCTCTGGCTTTCCAGCCCCAAGGCAGCCTAGCAGCCCAGACCCCTCTGCAGTGAGGAGGGGCTTATTCCTTCTCTTCTTGTCTGCTTCTTCCTTTGTTCTTTCTAACTTCCCCTTTGGGCGTCATTTATTCACTCAACAAATGCCTGTCGATCACCTGTAAGCTTGGGGATCAGAAATGAGAAACTGTCCCGAGCCATGGACAAACCTAGCCTCTGGCGAGACGCACCGTGAGCCACAGCAGAGGGCTAGAGGCCAGGCTGGGGCTGCTGCTCCGGCTCTGGCTCCTCCCCATGCATTGATTCAAACCAAACAGCTGTCATGCCGTTTTCAAGTAACTTCATCCAGAAT